TCAGATGCCCTCTGTTGTCCTGAAGGCACATTTCCTGCTCCTAGCAAATCCTTGAGAGCTTCCTCCTGGGTCACCACTGCACACAGACGCCCTTAACAAAGTGGCCCCAGGCTTGTGAAGGGAGGGAATGATCTCAATGCGCCAACTCACCAGACACATTTTAGGAGAGGTCTTCATTGTTATTGCCAAGATCCCTGAAATGACAAACTGCAGGCCAAATTTGGAGGTCAAAGAGAGAAGTTGGGGTTCCTTGAAACTTACAAATATTCCTCCCCTCTATTGTCCATGAAAACCAACCCCTGGTGGCCAGCAGGGCAGAGAACACCATTCCTCTGACAAAGCGAGCTCATCCTGCCTGCCACTAGGCCCATCCCAGGCCCTGCCCCACCCTGCACCCTCCTGCATGTGCACAAACCTCCTCAACTTGTCCTGTCTCCACACCTTGGATCAAGCTGTGCCCTGCACTTAGATGCCCTCCTAGCCCCTCCCGCTCCCCCCACCTTACAAACCCAAACCATCCCTCTTGGGTCAGCTGTACGAGTCCCTTCACCACGACCTTTTCTCCTTTCCTGAATCTTGCAGCTGGGGGGATATTAGGTCTTGGTTCTAAGGTCTCTGGTGTATCTCTGCAATCTTCTTTTGAATGTTCACTGAGCGCCTACTATGTGCTGTGCCAGTCCCTGAGAGCACAGGACAAAAAGGCACTGAGGGTGTAGAAAGTTCTGTCACCATGTGGTAAAAGCTTGAAGCTAGGGGCAGTGGGGACAGAGGACTGATTTGAAAGTGGGGGGTCGGGACACCTGTCCAAGAAGGCACCATGGAGCTGGGACTTAGCACCTAAGCAGGACACCACCAGGGAGTTGGTGACGGGATGGGCACCCTGGAGACCTGGAAGGACATGGATCCTCTGGGAAATGGTCTCATCTCATCTCCCATCCTGGCTGCTCAGAAGCCTGAGGACTTGTCCTTCTCCCTGCGGGAGGCACGTGTCCAATTATGGCAGAGTCCAGAGAGCTGGGAGTGCTCTCCTGGGACTCCAGATTGACGGGGCCCCAGGGAAGGAGCTATTTCCAGTGTGATGGAGAAAATCGAAGCAGAGATAGGGAGGCTGGAGGACGGGGCTGGCTTGTGCTTTGCTCTCTTGGCCCTCTCTGCCCCACCTGGCATCGGTCCCAAGTGCCAGGACCGCCCAGCCCCGCCCTGCCAACCCCATACCCAGCCTGTGTTTTGGCTCCTACTCACAGAGGCAGCACCCCAAAATGGATACCAGGACTTTAGCACCACCAGGTGAAGGCTCTTGACTCTGGAGAGCAGGTAAGCACCCAAGAACAGGTGCAGCACAGCGACGATGACATGGAAGGCCTGGGTGGGAAGGTGAGCAGCCCCAGGGAGGCCCCCTGTGCCCCGGTCCTGCTGGCTGTAGCGAGTTCTCTTCCCACCCTGCTGTGGACTGGATGTCCCTCCAAACTCATTGAGGCTTGGTCCCCACTGTGACAGTATTAAGAGGGTGGGAAATCCTATTATGGTAGTTGAAAGGTGGGGCCTTGAAGAGGTGATTAGATTGTGAGGACCATTCTCTAATAAATGGATTAATCCACTGATGGATTAATGGGGGTCATGGGCGTGGTTCTGAGGGCTTTAAAAAGGAGGGTGGTGAGGAGTGAGCTCTCTCTGCTCTGCCATTCTCGCCACGTGACACCTACATTGCTGTAGAATCAGATCACCAGATGCATTCCCTGGACTTTGGACTTTCCAGCCTCTGATACTATAAGCAATAAATATTGTTTCTCTACACATTGCCCAGATTCAGGTACTTCTGTTATAAGCAACAGAAATGGACTAATACACACTCTCTTAGGGATCCAGTCTGCAAGGGGATCTTTCCTTGGGATGTCCCGCAGGGAGAGCTGGGGCTGCCAAGGTCTCTCCATGGAGGGCATCTGTCCTGGAGCCGGCTCTCAGTGGCTGGCAGCTCCTCCCTGTGGTCACCCACGATGGAGCCCATGCAAGCCTCAGCCGGCAGTAGGTGTGGGCAGATTCTCCCCACCCCTCCTTCAAGGCTTTCTCAATTTTGGGATGAGGGGTAAGCAGGGAAGCTGGAGACTTTCCCTTACCCTTTCTGGGTCAGGGCCCCCCAGGATCCTCCCCACATGCCTTCCTCCCTTCCCTTCCACCACCAGGGCCCCAGAAAGCAGACACTCACGCCCAGCTCCCGGAGAAGGCGGCTCCTCCTCTGGGCCTTCTCCTGGTGCCAGTTTGGAGCCAGAAGCCCGGGCTGGGTCACCTTCTGGGGTGGACTTATCTGCCCAGGCTGGGTTAGGCTGAGGGGCTGCCCTGGCAGGAGTTCGCCAGCACCAGAGCTGGGCGTGACTGTGGCTGTTCCGTTGGCTTCTGCTGCCATTGATGAGCTGGGGACCCTGGCTGCGGGCCAAGGAGAAAGGCCAAGTCAGACCTGTCTCATTTCTGGGACTTGTGCCTGGGTGAGATTCTGTCTGTCACCTCTGCCCTCTGGGCTGGGGCCTTCCAGACCAGTGGTTGCCTTGCCCAGCAGCCCTGAACTTGATTTGATCAGAAGTAATCGGGCCGCTGGGGATGTGGAGAAATTGCTACTCACAGCCTCTCTGGGGTTTCAAGGATACAGCTCCTTTTGGGGCAGAAAATTAGGACCAGACAACTAGTGCCAGACAGAGCTCACCCAAACTGGCAGACTGCAGCTCGGAAAGAGCCCAGCGGTGCAGGAGCCTGGGCAGGTGTGGTCCACTTTGTAAACTGTCCCCATCCCCTGGCCTGGGATGAGCCCACTGAAGGCAGGTGGGAATCAAATAATTGTCCTACCACCTGCAGTGATGCCTGTGCCTCCTGGGTTTGGGCAGATGGGGAAGAGAAGGGAAAGGAGCTTCTGTGGAGGACTTACTGTGAGCCAGCACAGAGCCAGGAAGTCAGTATTTAACAATGACAACAATGTTAACCTTTCTTCAGGTTCTTCCTGTGGTCCAGCCACTGGGGTAAGCATTTTACATGCATCGTTTGATTTTATCCTCATCCCAACGCTATGAGGTAAATGTCGTACTGTCCTCACTTCCATTTTGCAGAAGAGGCTCAGAGAGGTTAAGCCACTTGCCCAAGGTCATACAGCCAATAAACGACTGGGACTTGAAGCATGGCAGGCTGGCTCCAGACCTGTGGGTTTAAGTCATTCATGTACTGTAGTGGATTGAATTATGTCCCCCCCAAACTCCCTGAAGCTTGAGTTGTGTCCCCCAAG